ATCACTGGGATGCCGTTCTTGTGAAGGAGCGAGCAAACCTTCTGCATGTGCCTGGGGTTGAACCTACCACCGCTGATAACATCCACGACCCACCAAACCAGGTGCAGGAGCTCTGAAACCCTTGCAGGGCTTTCGACGTTGTGACTCTCGCTTGCACGTCTTCGCTCTTCAACTAGCTTCTTCAGTTGCTTAAGAACTCCGTCAGCTCCGTCAGTCTCGAAGCCCTTCGTATCGTAGAGATTCACGGGACAGGACTCAGTTGCTCTGTACAAAGTGATCTGCTGAGTGACCGATCGGCCTGCGCCCGTCTGCGCCAGCTGCCGTCCAAATGCGGCATTGCATAGGCTAGACTTGCCCGTGCCGCGATCTCCCAATAGGACAATGCGCGCACCCCGCTCTGCAAGCTGCTGAGCAGTCTCATGAAGCTCTTGCTTCAACACGCCCTGGGTGGTTTCTTGGTGGTTTGTATTGATAAAAGACTGGCTACGCCTCTCCGGAAACAGAACGCCTTCCTTGGACAGCTGAAACCGGCATTCATTGGAGATAGCATTCTGCAAGCCCTCCCCGAACTGTGCTTTCCAACTCGGAACCTGCAAAATCGTCTCCAGAGTTTTGCAAGCCGTGTTGGTGCCCACCTCGTGGGTCTGCGCAGCCAAGAACCTTAGCACCAACTTGGCGCTTGCCTCATCCTGGTCCAGGACGCTTGCCAGCAGATCGGCAGCCTTCAACTCCGCCGCGAGGCTGCAGAAGCCATGAAGCACGGACTCCGCCTCTGCGTCGTTGGCGGACGCCTCCTCGGTTCGCCCATGTGGCGATGGTTGGAGCGCTGGCAATTGCCTTTGCACGAATCTGACCAGGAAGGTCCAACATGGTTTCTTAATGTAGATTTGTTCAGTTCCCCCCGGTAGAACACTGGGCATCACAGTCGCACCCCAGGACCCAGAGCATGCTGTGCAAAGAACCAAGGCCGAGACAAATACGGATTTTCTGATTTCCCACAAGCTTCCTGATATAAAGCATGTTGGTTGCTGGAATTGCAGACATGACAAAACACAATCTGCCGTAGCAACATCAAACGGAGCCGGAAACTCGTTTGTCTCGTACTACCAGAACCACAAAATCAGGAGCAAACAACAACGAAAGAGCCCACACCCAGCCCCTGGCCGGCAACGAACAATTACCTTGGCCGGTAAAAGATACCAAACCGAATTTGAATACAGAGGAGCGAGGACCAAAGAAGACCAATACCACATCAAGTGTCAAACATACTAAACTCTACAAATCGCTCCTACAAAATCCTGCATCACTAACTCAAAGACTGCTCGAAGGGCACCAAATCTGACCCCAGATTGATCTTACGGTGTTCAATGTTCAATTCTCTCACTAAATGGGAAATTGAGGACCACAGCTGCAGAAAGCTGTGGGCTCCTGGCTTTGCTCCACGCACATGGTGTTCTCAAAATTCACAAGCCTGCCGACGCAGCTCCGCCACTCTGCAAGCCTCTCGTCTTCCATGTTGCGCTTGGCCCCAGGAGTGTTGGGAAGGGAAGACTTCGTCTGAGCTGGGAAAAGGTGCAGAAACGTGTTCCACGCGCGCAATCGTTTCATGGGTAATTTTATTGGAAGCCCACTCTTGGTTGGGTTTGAAGGAATTACCAGTAAGAAACCAGTCAAGCCGCAACCGCGGGTGGCAGGACAAGTCAAGCGCAGAGAACCAACTGAGGCCCTCAACCGCACAAAGCCAGAGCGGCGTGTGGCGTTTTTTCGTGGGCAGCACTGCACAGATCCGCCCGAGAGAGGAAACCCCAACCGCTGAGGCACTGAGGCTCACTCGCGACCTGCTTCCCAAACTCTGCTTTCAGGCAGTTGACACTGTTGCTTAGGGCTGCTATTGTAAATTGACAGCAAATTATACGCCGGGAGCACCAGGTAGGTCTCTTTCAACCAACTGTGGCCATCTACTTTATTGGGCCAGGAGTGGGCCGCAGCGCCTCAAGCATAGCTGAGCAAACAGCGATTCCATGCCAAGAATCGTGACGAATTACTGCACACAAGGTTCCTCTTGCTCCAGTAATGTCTCTCTCAGCTCGGATGCAAGATGTTTTTTCACCCGCTTAAGACACCATTGTGTGCATTCGCAACCAAACCCATGCTCTCAGTGTTCTGCACATTGCAGAGCAAGGGGGCCCTGGCTGAATTCCATGCGCCCTTTCGACTCGAAGGGGCAATTCCAAGCCACCATCCAGCGGCAAAGTCTTCAGGCCGAGCTCTCGGAAGAGGCGCTACGGAGGTCTCGGAGGCGGTTCTGAAACATCTGCTTGCAGCTGGTCGACCTCCATGATCTGGGCGAGCTCTTCTGGTCCCACCTCAGAGCCGGCTGGTTTTCTGGAAAACCACGGCATGCTTCAAAGAGCGCAGAAAACAGAACTGCTCCGCGTTTCATGGAGCGAAAACTCCCCATCGCCTCAAAGCACATCACTGTTTCTGTTAACGATCCTCTCCACGGGCGGCAGGACCCTTCCCTGATTTCAGCAAGGGTGGCAACCTTAAAATGGCTGGTGCGCGTAAACCCGTGCAAATGATGCCCGCAAAAGGGTTCCTGAGGCGATCCCAGGGTTCATCTTAGAGTGGAATTCGTCACTTTTGAAACAGCTTACCCCTTTATCCCCCGTACCTGAGCGGGGTACGTGGGGGTAGATTGTGTATACCTACTGCGGGGGAGACGGAAAGGGTGGGCAGTTGTTTCTATCTTTCAATGTAGTGCGCTGTTTCTCCCCAAGTTCCAGCGCAGTCTGCTTCGGGCCGCAGACCCCAAGCAACTCAACACGGTCCCAAAACAAGGAAAAACTTGCAGTAAAGTCCAAAACTAAGACCCAGAAAATGCAAACAAACATGAAATCCAACTACCTACCGAACCCAGCAATCTCATTTCAAGATAAGTGGATACCGCGAGATAATCCACCAGGTTCATTCATCCAGGGTCAAAGTTACCCATGTCACTCCCTTCAAAGGTACCATGGTCGTTCCCAAGGGTTGGTGGTTATGCCATTGCCCAGTAGGGTAGATTTCCAGCCATGTCTTTCTCGTCCCCCGCCTGGTTTAGCAGCGCTTTGGACCGCACATCGCGCAGGAGCTGCGTGGCCACCCAGCCAAGCGCTGCCGTGGTTGCGCCAAGGGCCGCCGCTTCCGCGGCGACGGCGGGCACGTTGAAGCCGGGCACTAGCTTGAGAAAGTCCAGGCCCATACACGCGGGAATGCTGATGCTGGTGCCTTGGCCGGTTGTAGCTTGAAGTGTCTTCCACTGTTTTGAGCCAAGGTTGAACCATTCTATGGACCAGGTTGGACATGGGTGCGTTTGGCCATCGATTCGACTGGAATTTGCCCTGACTGCGTTGCGCCCCGCCTGCGATGGAGGAGCAGAGATGTACGGCCGTCTTCTTTGACATCGCCACGCGATACACCCCGGCGATGCTGAGCACCATGGCCACCTGCACCGGGACGCACAAGGCCCGTGACGCGAAGGGCACCGGGACGGCCGCCAGCGCCGCGGCGCTGGCGGTGTAGGAGGCGACCACCGCCTGGGCCCACCAGTCCAAACCTTCCAGCCAGGCCTCCTGGACCCGTAGAAAGGAAGCGGCCACCAGGTCTGGCAGCAGCCGGGCAGTCTCCTCAAGGGCTGGACCCTTGTTTGGAGCGTATGTTGCCCTCATGAAGAATCCGGATCTGGTATATATGGCGCTTTGAGCATGACGTGACAAGTAAAAACAAACATCATATATGTTGACCTCTGCAAGCAACCCTACGATATGTTTCTTCTTCCAAAAAGGGCCATCGAGGTCCACACAAAACCAGCTCTGCTCCTGAATCAACGCCTCAATGCCGTAAGAGGGTCGGAAATGCTGGCTTTTGCCGCACAAGCCGCATGCGTAGCACCTCTTCTGCACATTGATTGATAACTCATTGGATTGGCAGGCTTCATGCTGGCAGCGGAGAATGCGGCAGAAGCCAACCATTTCGCCCGTTTTATGGCGTGGACGTGTTGATTCAGGAGCAAACTTGGATTTTTTGAGCCTCTGTTGGGAAAAATGGCTTTAGGGTGAAAACCGGGTTCCACGCGGAGGTCAACATGATGATTCATGATGATTTGTTTTAAGAGGCTCAAAGCATACCTCGCGCACTAAGTCAATTAGCAGCCCTCTGCTGGGTTCAACATTATGTTTCAAAACCAATGAACATCACTTTACTCCGAACACTCCCCACTTGTAAACAGGCACCTGAAGGTCAATCCGACTGCGTGCGTGGCCCCAAGCATGCTGCAGGGTGATGCGACGGCGAAGAAACTCAGTTGAACTGGAAGCAAGGCAGCGCTGAACCCTACTCAACGGCGCGGCTGCAAATTCGCAAGGCAAATGAATAGGCCAGTAAGTTCCCGATCGATTCTATGACTGCGATCGTTTTGCTTACTTTGCCGCATGAAGGAACCGTTTGGGCGCCCTCGATGTAATTTTCAGCTAGCGTGCCCCCTACTACCTGCTTCAGTAAGGTGAGCTGATCATAAGCGTAACAGTGTCCAGAAAAAAATTAGGGTGACAGGAGCTGCTGGTGGCATGGGCTCGAGGAGTGGAAGCAGCAGACCCTAGCAAGCCATCGCCACTCCACTGTCTTGCCTGCACACTAATTAATCCTTTTAGTTGAAGTGTTGCAATAAGCAAAACGAGCTCCGCGCATGTCCTGCAAAAGTCGCAAGCTAAATGAGCAGGCCAGCAAGCTTGACATGTGGGGGTCAACTCTATGGGTGGGAGCCTCCGCCTTTGGCCTGTCGGCCTTTTCGCGAACGCACGATATTCTTGAATAATTCAATCCAGAAGCGGCACGCTTCGGGGGTCCCAATTGTGAAATAACAGGAGCCGGAAGAAAGTAATTGATTGTTGAGACCCTTCTGACCATTGATTGGTTCCAAACATTGGACAATCCCGCCCTTCCCCATTTGACCTGTTCAGGAGACTGCCCGGCTGCTGCCAGACCTGGTGGCCGCTTCCTTTCTACGAGCCCAGGAGGCCTGGCTGGAAGGTTTGGACTGGTGGGCCCAGGCGATGGTCGCCTCCTACACCGCCAGCGCCGCGGCGCTGGCGGCCGTCCCGGTGCCCTTCGCGTCACGGGCCTTGTGCGTCCCGGTGCAGGTGGCCATGGTGCTCAGCATCGCCAAGGTGTATCGTGTGGCGATGTCAAAGAAGACGGCCATACATCTTTCCTTGTCCATCGCAGGCGGCTTGGCTCAACGCTCAGGTCAACATTCCAATCTAATCGATGGCCAAACGCTGGTCCACAATGGGTCAAGGTCAAACAGTCAAAGACACTTCAACCTACAACCAGCCGAGGCTCCGGCATGAGCGTTCCCGCGTATATGACCCTGGACTGGCTCAAGCTAGTGCCCGGCTTCAACGTGCCCGCCGTCGCCGCGGAAGCGGCCCTTCTTGGCACAATCACCACGGCGCTCGGCTGGGTGGCCACGCAGCTCCTACGAGAAGTGCGGTCCAAGGCAGTACTAAATGAGGCAGGGCACGAGGGCCATCGGCCTAAATGCATTTTTTTTGACTTCCTTTTAAGACCAAATGGGGGTTTCAGCTATGGGTATGAGGCGGAGCGCAAGGGGGAGATGTGGGTAATGTTGCCCTCTTGGATTGTTTTGGGGTGCATGGGTTTATTCATCTTGGGTTCTCACTACACTAGTTTCAAATGGGGGCCTTTTGGCTGACCTTGTTTACATGGGAATTTATATCCAACAACTTTTGCGGAGGATGCCCACTATGTGCCGTTACTTCAAAAGTTGAGCCAATGGATTTGTTTGACCCATAAATGTAGTCTGGCCAGTTCTGGTTTCTGCCCAGGGTGCTGTTGCTGAAGCATGTAGCTGTGATGTTCGGTCAGTCTGCTCTCAGGTGAAACCAGAAGAGCTCGCTCAGATCATGGATGTCAACCAGCTGCAGCAGATGTTTCGGACCCGCCTCCGAGACCTCCGCACAGCCGGCGCTTCTTCCGACCAGAGCTTGAGCAGCTCGGCCTGACACCCAGTACTTCCAGGCAAGCCACTGTACTAAGAAAAAGACATGCGTTCTCTAGGTTTACATCCTACTAATGGCAACTGGAAGCACTGGGTGAAGGTTTGATCTCAAATCGCCAGTGCCGCGGGATTTCCGCCTGGAGAAGATGGCGGCTTGGAATTGCCCTTTGAAAAGGGCGCATGGAATTCTGAGATGAGGGCAAGACGCAATTATGCCATTGCTTCATCGTGATTAGAGACGGCTGTGGTTATGGTGCAAGAGTAAGTGAGGTATAAGAGCGACGACTGGGAGGAGCCTCTTGCGTTTCAAACCCAGAACACTGAGAACACGAGTTTGGTTGCGAACGCAGCTACTTTAAGCGGTTGACAGGACAACTTTAATCCTGGAATGAGCTGAGAGAAAGCTTGCTGGAGCAAGAGGAGCCTCGTGTACAGTAATTAGTCACGAGTCAAATTTGTTCTCAGTCTGGAATCGGCCTTTGCTGAGCTATGCTTGAGGCGCTGCGGCCCACTCGTGTCCCAACCAAGTAGAACACATCTAGATAGCCACCTTTGGAATTGGAAAAGTCACTTGGAATGAAACCTACCTGGTGCAACCCTTCCGTCAATTCAACCGCTAAAAGCGGAGGTCGACAGAGGTTGCAAGAGCCCTCAGCGGCTGGCCGCGGGGGCCGCAGCTTTTCCTCTCGAAAGGGCGGACTTTGTTCAGCGCTGCCCAAGAAAGGCGCCGGGCTGTGCTGGTTTTAAGCGGTTTGCGGGCGGGCGCCTTAGTTTGTTCTCCTCTTTCTGCCTCATTCCCGGAGTTTCTGGACTTTCTTTTGGGAAGACCTTAGTGGTCAAAAAACAGTTCGGACTTTTGCCAATCCGCTGAGGAAGTGAGCTTGTCCAATGAGATCCTCGACTTTGCCAAAGGACATTCAGTCAAACCTGGACAAGTCAAGACATTCATTTGCGTGGACCCTTGTTGGTGTTTGAAGGGAAGCCAAAAGGAAACCAAAGGAAACCGAAAAGAAAACAACCATGTATGGAAACCCCTTTTCGAGAAACACCCATTTGGCACAGCTTGATACCCGGCCAAACGCCTCACCAAAGTTGGGTCAAACCACACGGAAACATGTAGATTCCATGCAAGGCCTCACCGAATTAGGGAATGAATTCGGATCGAAGGTCCCCCTCTGAATTTGTAGGACTTGTAGACATTTTGCGGACCAACGACGCAACCCTTCTCAACCTCTCCCCTGGGTTTCCTTCAAATACAGTCCTTTCAGCGGCTTAGCCGAAGAACACTCAGCACAGTTCCTACTGCTCTCACTTTTCGAGCCAAACTTTTTTTGGGGGTGTCCGGTTCCGGGTGTCGCTTTGATTTGGGGTCCCGGCTTTCCAGCGGGTCGGGGAGCCGCCAGCCGAAGCAAAATTGAGGGCGCGCACCCTGAAGACCATCCGGGAGATGACAGGCGTTCCGGTGTTGGGGGCCCGAGTTTTTCCCCGTTTTTGGTTGAGAGGCGAGAAACGTCGATATGCCCAGTGTGTGTGTGTGTGCGTGTGTGTTTTGTTGTGAGTTGGGTGGTTCTGCGTTTGAAGGAACCAAAAGCGCACCATCATTTCTTGAAGGGGGGAGGGCTGTTTTTACATGAACACACCTGTATTTGCAAAATTTCGCACATTTCCAGAAAAGGAAATCATGGATCGCCATGTAATACACCTTCAACATGGTGTGCTCGTTGCCCCCCAGGTGAGCTCGGCGGACCCACATGCGTTTTGTTCTGCTAGGCCTGGTCTGTGCTATGAAAGCAGCTCGAAGAAGGCACAAAGCAGGCTGATTTTTCTTGCTCCCCTGGTTTCTCTCCATCCATCATGGCTCCTTTCAGTTTCAAGATTTGTCTTTGTTTTGGTTTGTTTATCGATGGCTTTTGTAGATTCGTTGGCTTTCTGGGTTGGCTCCTGACCCATGACTGGTTGGTTCACACCCGATGTTGGATGCTTACATGCGCCTGATGCTTGCTTTGAATCTACTGCTTTGAAGCCTGGGCAGGGTCCTCTATTTCAAGAGGCCTGGTGGCATTAGGACCTAATGACAACCAGTTCCGCCCCTTTGCCGCATGCGTTTTTGGCGGATCCATGTGCCATGAAGGATCGCTTTGAGTCAGCTTCAAGCACATGGCAGTTGCTTGGTTGGTTTCGGTCGGCCTCAGCAACGCCTGGTGAGGTGGTCCATGTCGGGCTTGTCCTCTTTGGATGCTAATGACTCGCTTTTGGGTGTGAGACTAATCGCTGGAAATTCGGAGCCCATGTTGGAATCCATGTTCGCTCAGAGAGCACCTGTACGCGATGTTGTAAAGTCAGCGTTGCATGTTTTCGCAAACCCCATGTCAGACGTGCCGCCAGCCAGAGGTTCATGGCTGATATCCAACTGTGATTCGCAAGAAGTTGAGTGCGTGCATGTGCTCAGGCTCAGCCTGCACGACGAGGGTCGGGCGCTCTGGAAATTTACTCGTCGACCGCACCAAAGGGCATGCCACCCTTTTGTTAGAACCCATTTAGGGTAGCCCAAATTTGGACAACTCGCTTAGCCATGCGGCTTGGTCATTTGCATTGGGCACCTAGCATCGTAAGGTGGAGGAGGATGGACCATGCCGTAAGGCCGTGCACTCCAGGTCGCTCCATGCATCCATCCGTCCATCCATCCGTCCGTCCATCCATCCTTCCATCCATGCATCCATCCGCTAGACGCCATCTAGGGTCACCCAAGCCAAGGGTTTATCACCCCGCCCTCCCATTGCCGAACAGGGGTGTGTGGGTGTTTCTAAGAATAGCTGGGGGTTGGAAAAACGGCATCTCAAAAGACAACTTCAGGCTCTTCCCGGAAACTTCAAGTTCAGATTCATGCCGGAAGTTCCAGAGGAAGAAAGACCTGCACACAAGAAGAGCCATCTAATGACTCGCGACGGCTAAGCAGCCGGGAATGATTCAATTCTAGCATTCCGGTCCGAAAGTGGTGGTCCTTGGTTGTTGTGTTTTGCCCTTCTGATTCTACATCCACCAAACAAGGGCGACTTTGCGGTGTCCTTCTTTCTTTCTTTCTTTCTTTCTTTCTTTCTTTCTTTCTTTTTACGCAGCTTTTCAGATTGTCCTCCATTTAGAAGCGGTGTTCTTTATTTAGTGTTAGATTTGCCCTTCAACTCCCACCCAAAAAGATTCTACAGTGTATTTTTGTCTGTTTTTGATTCACTCGTCAACATCCACCAAGCAAGTTGATTTGTCATGTGACGTGTTTTCTTAATTTAGGTGTTTAGATTGTCCTGCCTTAGCCATGTTGGATGTTGTCGCATGTGTCACTCTGAGAGCAGCGCACGTGCCTCGCCAGTTTTCCATTTGTTTCTTTCTGGCAGCCTGTGACTTGCTTGTTAGGCCCTCTATTCGCGGTGTTGGTTGATTGGACTACCTTCCAAATTTCCCACTACAGGTGAGTGTTCTGTCTGGGCAGCACTTTTCGCCATTTCTCTTTGGTTTGCCAGGGCGTCCTTCTAGCCCTTTGTGAACTAAACGATGGCTGATACTCTTGCAAAGTGGGCTTGATCAGGCGCATGCCCTCGTTTCATCTTTCTCAGGGGATTCCATGAGCTCACTCATGCTAGGGGTTCCCTGCTTTCTGGCTGGTGAGTTTTCAATTTGCCCAGATAAACATGTTTTTGGTGGCTTGAGGCAACTGGGTGGACATCAAAGGCGCGGGGCAAGCAGCCGACACCGAAGTGGGGTGTGCCTACAAGAGGGCACCCTCTTGTGGGGTCGTTTAGACACTTTTGGGACAATGCGTGTGGTTTCACTTATTGCACAAGCAGTTTTATATTTGCGCAACGGTAAAACACTCTCCAAGTGTTGTTGAAAGCGTTTAATATAAACTTATTCTTTGCTTCTGCTTCTGGCAAAGGGGCATCAATCAACATCTCTTCCCTCGCCAAAGCGGTCAAGCAGCAGGACAATTGAGAGTGGAGTGTGCTTGAAGATAGAGAGCGCGTTTGGGAAAGTTAGTTTTGCATGACGTCAAACTGTCTTCCTAATTTACAGCCAGCTCAATCGAGGGTGCATCTGTTTACTCATAGTGCTTGAGTGTGCCAAACCGCGTGCCAGTAGGTCTGGTGAAGCTGGTGGGCTTAGGCTCTCACAACTTTCTGGGAATCCAAAAGGAGGTGTTTGTCAAAGGAAGGGTCAGTTGGTACCGTCAATAGTGTCAAAACTTGTTGTCTTGGGCCAAGGCCCCTTTGGCCCTTGTGATTGCGTTTCAACCTGTGCAGTAGCTTACTGAGGGAACGACCCTTTCAAACCCAAAAGACGCTATTGGCTCACCAACACGTCGCTTGCCCGGGAATGATCCGCTTGGGCCTGGTAACGGTAGGGGGGGCCTTGCGTTCCGAGAGGCCTGCGGAACGAGGTGGAGACGGCGGGCCTTTGTCTGGAGGAGACCGGAGACGATGTCCAGCCCGAACCGGGTCCCCGTGAAGTTATTGCAGCCGCTGTGTTGCAATAATGTGTGGGGGGTATGAAGGTTTGTTGGAATAAGCAACGTGCTTAAGCCACTATATGAAGGGGTTGTACCCTGGTAAAAATGGGGGTCGTGGAAATCTGCTTGGGCCAGTTTGGTTGGCAGTTGGGGCCGGATTGGTGAGGGGAACCAGCTTGAAGTATCGTTGTGAGTGATGTTTAAGCAGGGAATATGGGGGAGCCCTGTTGGTCTGAATTGGTTTGTGATGTGCGTGTGTGTGTGTGTGTGTGTGTGTGTGTGTGTGTGTGTGTGTGTGTGTGTGTGTGTGTGTGTGCCAGTGACGTGCAACAGCCGGCTCCAAGACATCCCCAACAATTCCCCTATGCTTGAAAGCCTCCTCACAATATGGTGGCCTGACTGCGGGGTCAAACCATCCTCTGGTAGAATACCCTCATCATGGCTGTCTCGACAAAACGAAATGGTACTGCCCCCCCAAAAGTGCAGGATTGATTTCAAAGTCCGCCAACCCTTTCTCCCTTTAGAGCTTTGCGAGACGCTCTTGCGCGAGGCCCACATGAGCTACCACTCGGTCTTCGCAGAGATGGAGGAGGCGCCGTTCCTTCCGCGCATGTGAATGGTTCAGGCCCGGAAGGAATACGTGGCATGGCTGTCTAAAGCCCTGGGGTCGAGGACCATTGCTACCCAAAAAATCACATGGCTACCATTTTGGGGTAGGTGTACCACCCATTTTAGAACCTATTTTAGTCGGGGATTGGGATGTTCATTGGGGGTACGGGATATTGACCCATGGCCACATGATTGTCGCACATCTGGGTGGGCGTTTTTTAAGTTCAGCCGCACTGGTCTTAAAGAGCCAAGGTGAAACCCGGCATGTGGATGCCAACCGATTTTTGCATACCTGTTTGGCAGCTATGTACAATCATGTCTGTCAAGGTTCTAGGCCTAGTATGGTCCTAGCTTGCTGAAAAAATAGAAAGTATAAAGGATCAAGTTCAATGTAACTTCTGACTCAAAATTAGGTAGCAATTTAAATAAGGAACAATTCC